CGAGAGGGATGCACGGACAGACATGCGGGTCCTAATGTAGGTATGCGAACGAGTAATGGCCACAAATTGGACACCAATTTATTTGTTAAACGTGATTAGTTTGGGACGAATGTCAGCGATTTTGACTAATCTGATTTTGAACTGTTTCTCTGTCGTGGAATAAACGGGGACACGGGAATTGCAGGTTGTACTTTGTGTTGGGCCTTTTACGTTTATTTTATTGGGTTTAGTGCACAGCTAGACACACACACCTTAGCTATGTTCATCCTTAACATTTGCGTTGAAATTACTTATGTTGAAAAAATATATATATTATGATTATTATGTATGAAAAGAAATTACATATGTAATGATTATATTTATGAAAATAATAATTTGTCAAAAATATGTTATTAATTTATATTTTATTTTTAAATTTATATGGTGCAATAACGTGTGAAAAACATTGAAGTTTTCTAATATAATCCTATCTGTAAGAAACTTTTTTGGGTTATGTAATTTGTTAATTACTATTGGTATTTCTACTTTGATTTCGTAGCATTCAAAAAAATACCTGAATAGCTTAAAGTAGGTATTCACTCCTATAAAATACGTGTTTTAATAACATGCATTAAAATTACAAATTATACAAAGAGCTTCAACGCTAATGACGATTCGAAAATATCATGGACCTAGGACAAGTTGGTGGTTAAATTTGGACATTTTACGACGCTCTCCTCTCGTATGTATATTTACCCCGTTCTCCCGCCGAGCGCTGTTTTTGATGTCCGACACTTGTTTATGCGTCTTTAAGTATCCTTTTTTAATTGCTCCAAGGATATTGTTGACTTTAAGAATAAAGACATTGAACTATACAACCGTACTTCACTAAGAGCCGCATTTATTAAGTTACACTTCCAGGAATCATGAGAAATTAGTTTTAAGTACAAACTAGATGTGTCCGCGACTTCGCCCGCGTGTAATAATTATTTTGGGGATCATATTATTTATTTTTGCAGAAATCTTCACTTATCAATTATAACTGTTACCTACAACCGTAGTCCCGTCGTTCTTGTTAGTTACTCTTAAAAAGGTGGACAAACTTTCCCGGGGGGGGAAAGAGAATTTTTTTTTTTTTTATTTTTTTTGGGGGGGGAAAAATTTTTTTTTCCCCCCCCGGGGGGGACCCCCCCAAAAAAAAATTTTTAAAAAAAGATTTTTTTATTCCAACTTGTAGTTCCTGAGATTAGCTTTATAATATCAGTATCGATTAACTCTATTTTTATCAGCATATAATTGTTTTTCGGGCTGTTCGGCCGACGTGAGGCGAGACGGTGGCCGTGAATGCCTTACACAGTTTATTATAATTGTTTCTCCTATGATGGTCGAAGTTTACTCACGTTTATCTATCCTCTCCTTTATGTTATCTATGTCAACTATACAGTTTTCTTTTCACTTCTTCATTCCAAAACGGTGGTCTCCAAGCAACAGTGATACAGTCAAAACATCGTCACAGTCTACAGACTTTCGGAGCGACCCTACTTTCGATAAAGTTATCAGATGAATCTGCCCTTTTTAAATAACATTACAAAGAATTGCATACAAAAAGAATTACATGCAGGCCTAATTTAAAATGTGTTTAAAAATTTAAATTTGAAATTAGTTTAGACTGATGTTTTGTTTTATGCAAGGCGAAATAATACGTTGCATTATAAGAAGGCAACAACGATACACGTCTTATTGTTTTATCTGTGCACACGCAGCTACGTTGCCTCAGACCTCAAATAGTCGATTGTGGACTACCAAAATTGAACCAAAAGAGACTAAATTAACGGTTCTTTTGGCTACAGGACGTTCTAAATCTAAACAATTGCGTTGCGCGTGCGCACACAAAGTGGCGTCCTCTTGCGTGGATACCGGACAAGTGCTGACATCGATACGGCGACAGATCGGTTACATGCGTCTTATGTTTCCTCTCGTATTGGTTTCTTTGAGACCAATGGATGTACATGGGGAATACATATATAGGAAACATTCAAGAAAGAAAGTATATAGAAAGGTGTGGGTTTAACAGTTGATAAACCAACAGAGTAACATTTTCTTGTACATATTATCTTTATCAAAACAATTTTTTAAGACAGGCACTTAGAGGAGAGCTATTTAAGGATGGTGGAGATATAATAATACCTTACGTTACATAAAGAAACTTCGCTTTAGAAAAGCTTAGGTTTTAAAAAGTTTTCGTGCCGTAACAGCCTTTATTTACTATGAGAAGTTATTATTATATAACACTTGTCAAGATGAGGTACCATAGCGGTCTTTTCTGTTTTAAAATTATCACTAACGATCCCCTCAAAACTTTAAACGAAAAACAAATTCTACTCAATGGAAGCAAGTCAATCCCTGTGAGGAGGTGTGTACTAAGAATATTCATGTGTCTATTACCAACAAATTGTTAGAAATTCGGAGATTCCGATCTTCACGCTCGATAAATGTAAAATTGTTATCGCCCTATGATAGCACTGTTTATGTGCATAACGATTATCGTTACAAAGGATTTTACCAAGTGTAATTTACGATTTTTTATGCGTGGATTGGCCCAACAATTTTATTGTTCTTATATAGGAGCTAGAAGAAAGCGCATTTAATGAATAAATGAATACATACTCGACATTCTTGAGTTCTTTCATTTGTTTACAACAGCATTGACTTTTTTATGATAGAGAAAGACAGACAATAGTGTATTACCCCAGCAATATAACATCTATACAAGATGCGTTGTCAGCCTATTTTGGCTTTGGATATTCGGGAATCCACAGACGGAAAACGAAACGCGATGAAACTTAACACGGTTCGGAAACTCGGACGGGATTTCGATATTCCTACCACCAATTGAAAATCCACATTTCAAGACGAAAACCAACTTGTTACGGATTTTTTTTAATTGATTAGAAATGTTTGTACCTGGTGGGGAATAAACCCACGACCCATTGATTAACCATATGTTGCTACCATTACACCAACGGGTCTTTCAAATTTCGAAATAACTTTGACACAGATCCACATCATACAGAGCTTCATCTTTACCTAATTATTATTTTGATATTGTACTGTTTTCTTATCTTAAAAATGAGCGTAAACAAGTTTTACATTTTGCTAGATGCGTAGATAGTTCAGCTACTGGTAAGAATAAATTGAATTAATTAAAATGAAGAAATATTCACTCAGTATGAAATAATGTAAAACATTAACTATTATGTTTAGATATTCATAGAAGCATCCATCGTGAAAACAATGCAATCTCTCATCACCTATAATATTCTGTTAGACTACCTTATAATTAAAATGTGTTAACACACAGATAGAGAGATAAGAGATTCGGGTGTCGAAATATAATAAAGGATTTTAAATTTATACCTACATTTTATGGTTTCTTGGTTACTAAAATGAGTAATTTGGAAATCTATAAGACTTTGCATTAGAGAAATATTAATATTTCCCTATTTCTGCATACAAAATTGTAGTTACATATATTCAAAATTTTAATATAGATTAAAAACCATTTTCCCGTGGGACATGGGTCGAACACATTTCTGTGTCCTATTCAACATCAATTTTTTATTAACAGGTAAGAGAGAGAGGTTGACCAGTAGAGATAATATGTGCCCTGCCCGATCAAAACAATATATTGTTTTCCCAGGATTCGAACCCAGAACCGTTCACGCTTAACGCAATATGTTTAAACATTTAGCTACGGAGAAAATTTAATATTTAAAAAAAAACTCTGTCCCACGATGAACAAAATTTTACGATACTTTCACTGGCTAGTTGATTTCTGACCGAATAAGGATTTTACATAAATATTAGGCAAAATAAAAAGGCTGTTTTAAAAAAACTACATATACTCAAATTGTATTTTCATTTAAATAAATACTCTAAGGGTTAAGATCAAATGAACCGATCACGGTAGGTTGTAAATCGGTCAGTTAACTGGGCTTTTGTTTCGCCTAAACGGTTTAACTGTTGCTAATCTGCTAGTTAACACCTTTAACGGAAACTGAGGTGTTTGCTTCAAGTTAGGCCTTTGCTTTTAACAAAAGTTAAGTAAGTACCTATATTTAAATGGGAACGGTACATAAATGTTATAGTGAGGTAAGGCGTATAAATAGTGGCATTCTTTCTTAATTAACGAATATAGCATTTAAAGATGGCGTAAACTTCAGTTAAATGGCTATATGAAATGAACACCAGCCATATTAGATGTAAACAAGTTATGCGGTCGACCTATTTTGGCTTTCGATTTCGAAACCGAAATGTAATTAAACTTGACATTTGTGGAGGGTGGATTTTGATCCGGAGGACATTTCGATATTCCAATCCAATTTTTAGACGAAGTTCAACATGTTTCAGAAGAAATATAATTTGATTTGAAATATATTGAACACGAACACACGACACGGTGATTATTAGTCATATATTGCTATAACACTCGCCAACACTAAAGTGAAGACAAAACCAATATTTTTTAATTCTTGTCAAAATGTCAAAATGGCCATAGCTTTGAGAATACCTGGTCACCCTATATTAACTGTTTACGGAAACTATATCCATCATCACACAACTTAATTATTCCACCACACCCTGTTGACGTACGCTCCCAGCACGGTCATTCCACGTATCCAACTCCGGTAAACTGACGACAGATTGTTTGCCAAACACGATCAACTGTTTGCTAAACATCCGATCGAGATCACGACAATGCTTTTATGATAGTTGGTTTTGGTTAAGCGTGTGGTCAGTGGCTCTACTACTTAATGTAGATTATTATATACTTCTTATAAATACTTATTAAATTACTTGTGCTCGATATACGTTCGGACTGAATTAGTCACGTAGATAACAGTCATTGTCAAGACTTAGAAGTTGCTGGAAATTAAGAAATTCCCCCCTACTCTTAATAGAAATTTGACTCCTAATAACAAATTTCTCTTTTGTCCACAGACTACCTCGGAATACCAAAAATGCCTAGAATATCATCAGACAACCCAGTCCGCAGGCGTCTCTTCGCCCCAGAAACCCCAGCGGAGGAGGCGAGAATTGACAACTTAGCTAATATACTCCAAGAATCCATTTTTTCCGATCGGCTGGAGAAATCAAAAAAATGGAACTTTGATTTTGAAAATGAAGTACCGCTAGATGGCATTTATGAATGGCATTCTTGTAACGACAGTTCTGATTGGCTAGGAGTTTCAAAAATAGAACAGGTTGACGATCAGGACTCGTTTCTTCCTATGAAAATTGAGAACGAAGTTACTCCAAGGGTGAAAGAGACGATTGTACCATCGATAAGAAAGTCTTTGAAGAGGAGAATGAGTTTCAGAGTCGAGAAGGAAATTAGGAGGAAGATTACTTTTGAATAAATCGATTCTAACCTTGATTTATTCAAATAAATTATTCACGATCATGCATTTTTTTCATCAACCCAGATACTTCTTGTATATATGCAAAATAGATTGCAATGCCGATCTAATACCGCAGCTTCTTATAGAGACTGTGAACTTTTTATTTCTTCAATAGAAGATACTTTTACTGCTTCATCATCAACAATATTTTTGCAGAATCGTGAATAGTTCCTTTTCTTATGTGCCACATAAATCGCTTTTATGAAATAACGGTTGTAGATAAAGAAAAATCATCAAGTAATAAAACAAGAAAATATGTGTAATGATATAAAATGACTGGCGTCACGCTATATAGGGAGAAACGGTAATGCATTTTATTTTTTTGATTGCTTAATGCCATACAGCGAACAACAGGCCTTATTTTATTAATATATTTTTTATACTACTTGCGATGTTTCAAAATGGCGATTCTTCTGTATTCTAGTTTTTAGTTTTAGAGGTTTATTTATTGTGTAACCTATGAATCTTTTAAAAGACTGTCTCTTATATGATTTTAGACGCAATATTTTATATAAATGTAATCTCATTCCACTATTTAACATCACAAAGTAACTTTTAACAATTGAACATTAAATAATGTTATAAATATGTAGAGGCTAACTCACTAACGTATAGAGTAAAAAACTGTGATCTTTAACATTTAGTAGTTTAAAGGACGAAAATGATCACCGATTTGTAAAAATTAGTTTTGATCTAAAATTAGATGTGTAATTAATATTAAAAATTATCTAACATACATTTTGTAAGAGGTTAACTGCTATTACTGATAAGAGACAATTCTGCTAAAAAGGTGAATCAAATTTTAAGATTTAATTCAAGTAGACTTTGTACACTCTCCAAACTTTGTTTTGCCGGGCTGAAGTTAGCGCGACCGCCATCTTGCGCATGGTACTGTCAATTATAAGCAAAGTCGATTCCTCCTGCACCCGCGCACTTTTCGATGATTCTGCGCAACTATCCTCGCTTACTTCAGCCCGGACTCTTAAGTTTGGAGAGCACTGTACTGTATTGTAAATATTTATAACTAACGACTTATAAACGTTTAACTTATCTTTATAAAAACAGCTATATTCCAAAGTCTCTGTAGAGAACTTGTTTGTTTTAGAAAACAACTTCGCAAAGTTATATAATATCAAAAATACACATAATGAATGGAATTCTTAATACATACATTAACTCTACTATAAGTATGTGTACTTATTTAATTCCTATAAAGGAAATAAAATGCTTTAAATTGATATATTTGTTTAGTCACAATGTAATTTAGATTTATTTATTTTATATCGATTTAATTAATATTGGCTAATTTATTATAATTTTCGACATTAAACAATATTACAGAACCGTGTGTTTGTTTTCATATATTTTTAATAATTAATGCTCATTACTCTTTTTCGTTTCAATCTCTAGATTTACTAACTATAGAAGCTAAATTTCAGAATCTCAGGAATATCAAAGGATCAATGAAGCGCTAATAATGAACTGTTGTATAAATTTGATCCCAACCGATTTTTAACATATCTCGTCTCTAACCCGTGACTTTTTACGTTTGTCTGCAAATGTTGCACTTCGTCCGAAACGTCGGACCAAATTAAATGGATGGTAATAATTTTGAAATTCTGAATGTTTAATTAATATACCGCGTTTAAACGGATTTCCGTTTCAAAGTGTTTTACCTAAAATGAAAACTAAACCCGCGTCAAAGCTATTTAGACAGATATTTTGTTAAGATGATATATGCTTGAGGTATTGCAATTTCAATCAAGGATGGAATACCTGTGTAACGAGTTACATTTAATGTAACTTGTAGTTCAAATAATAATTTATTTGAGATTCGTTCGTGAGACGCTTTAGGCCGTAGCCGAGGTTAAAGTTCACGGGCCGCATACGTGTCCATCGTGCCCCATTCCCCAACCTGTGAATGAAGTTCCACAATTTGTTATAATCACATTTTATTGGAGCCAATTGGAGTAGGAAGGATGGGGTGCATAAACGGATGCGCCAATGACTATGAGGAAATGGTGTGAATTTTACGTTCACCAAACCTGCATTGCCCGTTCAGTCAACTGTGCCCCCCCCCCTTCTCACCTCTACGGGCGGACGAAGAAATATATCGGTTATTACAATATACATCTTATGGCATATGCCAATGACGATTATGAGTGATCAAAATCCAACCTTTTCTAATTAGTTAGAAAGAATGGAATAGAGAGTTTTTTTATGATAGGTAGAAGAGGACAGACAAGCATGGCGTTGTCTTGAAGGTAGGCGAAATACCTTCGCCATACAACATCTAAAAAAGACTTATTTTGTCTTTGCATAATTCGGAAATCCACCGACTGAAACGCGATTAGACCTACGCTTAGTGTTTTTGAAAGATCATAGTAGCATACTTTTCTTCTCAATAAAATCTCTTACTTAATAATTATATTATTGATCTTTACCGTATGCAATTTACAGTTACGTTCTCATGAAAACAAAAGCAACGAAATCAATGTGTAAAGGAAACATAAATAAACATATAAAATTTGCTCCAATCCCGTGGGAATCGAACCCACGCACGCGAATCTGGTCACGGCCAGTGCGCAGAAAATGTCCTGGATTTCTGACACGCGTATTCCGTTACCATGGTAACGCTAGACAGGTAATTAAACATTTAAATTTAAGTATAAAAGCAATAGTTTAAACACGTTTAAATATAGAATAGTAAAAATTATATTGAAACCGTAAAACTTAATTATTTTAGGTAAGCCAGAGTACTAGCTGTTCAGGGTTTGACTCCCGCCTGATTATTAAAATTTTCAATCAGTCTATTTAATGGCATTCTTATGTATAAGCTTTGATAATCACTAGTAAGAGGGATTTTTTTCTCATTAACTGAAACGATAGTTTCTTGATTATAACATTGCAAGGCTAACAATTAATCTCAGTGCTGGCAACACTCGCTTTCATTGAATAATTAACACTTCCTCTCTATCGGAGTATACAATACCCTAAAAGTGGAATCTCATGCATAGTAATGAAGGGGAAATCCGGGATATGCACCAATACTCCTTGGGGATGCACCAACTTTTTTTGCATTTACGCATTCTAAGAGGGAAACAATAATTTATGGAAACTTTGGTATTGTATGACTGCGTAAGTACCTATGAGGAGTTACACGAGTTACTTACGCATTTTAAGAAAACACTTTTAACGACTTAAATAACTGTTTAAACGAAAAATAATAATACATTATTTATAATTTATTTTAACTGGGCCCGACATTTCGGATGCTAGCAGCAGCCGTGGTCACGGTTAGTTAATTTCAATTGAAAATAAGTTAAGGAATATATTACGCAATTTAAACAGTTAAAAGTGTTTTCCTTAAATGTGTAAGTGATACTCGTGTAAACTATGTTCTTGTTTAAATATAAAAACAGAGGTGTAATAAACAAAATTGTGATTTTTTCTACGTATAAGAAAGGTTACTTCTTTTTATCTTCTGTATGTCTTAATTCTTCTGTTAATGAATATATTGAACTTTAGTACCCATTGAACATTTAACTAGTATTAAAATAAATTTAATTAGAACTACTTATCTTGGAAAATATCGCAGTCCAAGAACTCAATAATCCCACCATTTACTTGACAAATTTTGTAACTTTTTTGTCTCCCGTCTGTTTCCGTCCATCTTCCACAGAGGTCTACATCCTGTTTCCGACAGAGGTCGTGACTTCCCATCTGCTGCTGGCTTGTAGGGCTTCTCGGATGTAAACTAAAAGTTAACTGAAACCATACAAACTTGGCACATCCTTTTTCTTGTAGGATATTTCCTACTACTCAGTTCAATGAATCGTCAAAACACTGTGAATATGAAGCTTTCGACTAAAGCAAAATAAAGCGAGGGTTTTTAAAAGTGTTTGTGAACTATAACAAATGAAAATTGTGAAATTCTCCACTAAATAACTTGTCGTTTATACGTTTAAATAAAACACTTTTAACGGTTTAAAATGCGAAATAAATTAGTAAACATTAATTTAATTTAAGTACGGCCCGGCGTTACGGATACTTTGCAGCAGTCGCGGTAACATAATCGTATTTTAAAACTATAAATGTGTTTTGTTTAATCTTTATAATTAATGCTTTTGAAGCTGACATAACTATCGTTAATTCGACTGATCTATATAATCTATAAGCAAACTCGACACATATACATTTATCATGTTTTCCTAGAATTCGAAGCGATGACCCCTACATTTTAGTCAATGCGTGAAATCGCATCGCGTGGGGCATGGGGCACATATCTCTTTCACTGATCAATGTTATTAAAGGTAAGTCGATCGGACTTTTGTTGCTTAGAAATCGAATCAACTGCCTTTCCCATTTTCTGCAAAGCAAGGTGATGTTTTACAACTGACTAGTACAAGCGGCTGATCCGATTAAAGTTATACTACTTAAAATGTGCTTTTTTGTTTGAAAAATAAATTTTAGTAATTCTTTATGTCCCACATTAAATAATATACTTATCTTTATGTTCATAATTAAAACTAAAAACAGGTCAACTTAGATAAAGATTTATCAACAATAAAACTAATTGAATACCAGCATCGTTGAAACGTCGAAAGTGGGGCAGTAAAGTTAATTTTATTTGTTTTATATTGATTTTAGTATCGGGGTTAAGTCAACGCGCTTTTTCCTCAATTTTTTTATGGTTTGTTACGTAATGGAGTTGGAGTCGGAGCCCACTTTTTGTAATTTACTGTTTACGTGATATTATTCGATAAATAATTTTCTATATGCTTTCTTAAAAACTTTAAATATGCAATAATCTTTAGATTACAAAAGAACGTGATTTCTTTATAAAATATAAAAACTCACCTGCAATAAATAATAATTTCCTGCCCATATTTTATGCTATTTATTTATTCAAAGACATCAACAGAACAGAGCACACATCACTATTTATATATATATAT